GCTATCGGAAGGTACGGGACCATTCCCCATCTAAGCCTAAGAGAGCGCAGGAACTTCGGAGGAGATGAGAAATGCTCACGCATTCTGAAATCTGTTTTTCCCTGCCAAAGGCTTAGTACCGTTTTCGAGGAAAGGAGATGTTTTACGTGATTTTAAATGGATTGCCACAGTAATGCTCGGTATCTTGCCATAGCGCCTTCTTATTTTTTTTTTTGGAAGGCCAAGAAAAGCTCATGAGATCATGACGGCGTCTGTATCGAAAGAGCAAACATCGGAAAAAGTGCCGTGTTGTCCTGCGGACGTTTTGTCCACGACTTGCCTACTTTGTGAAAATATCTGCAACACGGATGTGACAAAGTGGCAGTCCTAAGATCTTGACAAGACGAACAAATCTATGATAGTTGGTTGAGCGAACTATGGGTCACTTCGACCTTTTAAGGTCACCAAGAAGGGTATCTCAGCGAAAACTCAGCCGGTTCACCCTGTTGGTGGTCCTTGGTATATTTGAAACAAAAATTATACTACTGACAACTCTAGGCACGGCATTGTCATTGGTGATCTAGCCTTATCCAGTCCCTCTTTTAACACTTGACGATAACATGACGCGCATGCGCGTCAGATTTTCACTCGAATCATGCTCTATTTGCTTTTCATATTTCAAAAGGATGGATGCAAATTTCTCATCCGGAAAACTGTCCACCATTTACCAGTGGTGGAATTATCGAAAAATAATGTCGATTCTAAAAATAATAAACGAAAAGTTGCCAAGATGGGCAACGGGCTGTCGTACTAAATATTTAGTCTCCAACGGGACATCGCAGTCACCCTCACGTTTTTCAGCTGGCCGAAAGGCCTATGACGAGCCGGTTAGATCTGCTGAAGCGGCACCTGAATTACTCGGACTTGCTGGTTATCTTCATTTACGTGCCGTCGAGAGCATGCTGGTTGCTCACCTACGACTGGCGAGGAGGAGATCTTTTGTGTCGAGTTGTGAAAATGATGCACACAGTGGCTTTCCAGGTGAGGTCCTCTTATAATGTTCACCATTAATCAACCGATGTTCGTTGCCGTCAATCAAAGCCCTCTGCCCACACTCTACCAATTGATTTATCGGGGTGAGATATTCAGCTCAGCCCTTAAGAACATGTCTAGGTATTAGTCTTGTATCAACTCACTTACCAGGGAAGGCATTTTCCATGAAACTTTGAATTAGGACCCTGATATTTCGATAGAGCTCCAAGGGCTGATTGCAAATATGGAAAAGAAAATTGCAAAATGAAGTTGCCAAGGAAGTTGTAGCAGCCAAAGTTGGATGGAAGTAAAGCGTACATATGACCGTGTTAGCCTCCGTGCTTTCAGAGTCGCTGTGGATCAGTGGTAGAGCTTTCGCTCTTCATCCGGTAGGTCATGAGCTCTCCTTCCGCTGGAGAGCGAGTTTC